ACCAAGGCAACCTGGTGTGGCAAAATTTCTGCTTGGATGAATTGTAGATGTCACTCAAGGGCAATTCTTTCCCAGGATGGCATTTTCCATGCTCCATGCCTGGAAGTGTCCAAGGCAAACTGGTGTGGCAAAATTTCTACTTGGGTGAAGTGTAGAAGTCACTCAAGGGCAGTTCTTTTCCAAGGAAAGGCAAACTGGTGTGGCAAAATTTCTACTAGGATGAATTACAGAAGTCACTCAAGGCCACTTGTTTTCCTGTGATGGCATTTTTCATGCTCCATGCCTAGAAGTGTCCAAGGCAAACTGGCGTGGCAAAATTTCTACTTGGTCAAATTAGGTCCAAATTAGATGAATCCATCAGGCAGCCTCCTCACAGGCCCTTAGAGGAAATCCATGACTTTTCCACAACTCTGTGCCCTGTGGCTGCCACATCTTGACACTGTGGTCTCTTGTTTCTGTCTCTGCAGTCCTGGACTGGCTGGTTCAGCCCAAACCCCGCTGGCTGGGAGGCAATGGGTGGCTTTTGGATGGCCCAGAGGAAGTCTTACAAGGTACAGCACATTTGTCTATCTTCTCTGCAATATCCATAATCCCACAAAGGCCCTGGAGAATGAATCCCTCATACACAGAGCTTGCCTGGGATGTTGAGCTGCTGGTATTTGTCTGGAGTTCCCACAGGAATAACTCTGTGTGGTGCTGGGAGCTGCTTTCTGCTGCAGTAAATACTTTTTATGGATATGGATTATGCAGCAGAGCACTGGGAATGCTGCAGGGTGCTGGGCTTGTACCCATTCTTCAGATAATGAAAGATCTAGCTTCCTTTTAGAAAAAGGCTTTGTCATCATACACATAATTTTCTGCCAGCTTCCTGATAGAGTGTGGGTGGACTTGGAATGGGAGATCCTTTAATCCAGAGTGGCCTCCTCACCCAGATGCCTTGGGCTGGGGCTGTGGCTCTTGGATCTGAAGGTGACTTGGACAGGAGCCCTGGCAAACTGCTGCAGAGCTGTGCCAACTGGGGCATCTAAATTTGGAGACTGACAATGAGATTGAGCTTCTCAGCATCATTCCATAGGAAAAGGGGGTTTAATTAATTTTTTCCAATACCTAAAACTGAAATAAGAAGGGAGTGGGGAGGTGGGAAGAGAAGTTTTCTTCTGTGAGGCATTCCGAGATATATGGACGCCTGAAGTTTTGGGGTTCTTCATGGAAAAGTTAACCCAGCTTTTGATCAGCTTTAGTCAGATCCAGGTAGTGCCAATAAATTCCCTTCTTTGGTCTTACACAGATGGTTTTAGACTCGCTAATCCTCAACTCTCATCTATTATGGAAACTCCAAGTTCTTGAAGAGAAAATTCTGCCTCCAGCTCATTGGAGCTGCACAGCTAGAAACAAGATAAAATAGGTTCCTCCTCATCCATCCTTGTCATGCTTATATTATTTGTTCTTATCTGAACACCTTCATCTCAGCTTGAGGGAGTAATTAGGGAAGCAAGAACCATCAGTCATGGCATGAGAATTACAGCAGAGGTACTTGAAATTAAAAATGGGAGGGAGGAGTGGCCCTGCAGAGTCTGTACATGTAATGGCCACAGACACTGCCCAGGTCCTGCTTTGCCTTCCCATTCTGAGCTGCACTTGCTGCCTGTCCCAGGTCAGAGTGGTGAAACCTCTGTTTGGGACAGGGGTGGCACTGCCTGACCCCGCAGTGAGTCACTGCTGAGGTTTGGATTCAGCAGCAGGCCTGTGGGTGTGGAGCAGAGAGCACAGCAGCACAATGCCAGCTTCCTGCTCATGTTCCAACTCCTCACCCAGCCCAGACCCTGGTGGGACACACTTATCCCTGCCTGGTGGGCACATTTATCCCTGCCTGGTGGGACGCACTTGTCCCTGCATGGTGGGACACGCTTGTCCCTGCCTGGGGAGAGCAGCCCCATGGGAAGATCATCCTGCATGGTGGGCACTGATGATGCCTCTTTGGGCTACCTAAAAACAGAATTCATACAAAATTAGAAGGATAAAAAGCAGTTGGTTTATATTTATTGAAGGGCCTTCAGGTACATTTAGGGCAGACAAAGCCCCCCAGGGGCTACACCCAAAAATGGACGATGGGTCATGGGTTTGCACACTTTTATAAGTTTGGTCCATTTGCATATTGGAGGCTAATCTTCCAATTCCAGTTTCAGGTAATGAAATATTTACCCCAGGTTTGTTCCCCCCAACTCACTTTTGTTTCCATCTCTGGGGCCTGAGGCAGTGAGGTGTCCTTGATTGCCAGGCCTGGAGAGGAATTGTTGTGTCTGCCCAAAATGGGAAAGCAGCAGTTCACACTGTGTGTGGAGTTCAGAGTTCTACACTGGTGCCTAAAGAGGCTGGCCAGGAACAGAGTTAAAGGCATAAAGTAGGGATTTATTAAAAGGATACTTCTTGGGCAGTACAAGAGCCTGGCCATCGCAACATCCAAGATGGACCCAAAATAGACGAGTTTTCACACTTTTATAAATTTTGGTCCATTTACATATTGGGGTTAATTGTCCAAATTACAGCTTCAGGTTATGAAGTCCCATCCTCCCAGTTTGCTCTTTTCAGTTCACTGTGTTTTATGCTTTTTGGGCCTGAAGCTGCAGTGGTGTCCTTGGGCTGGAAAAGGATTGTTTTGTCTGAGCTGTGAGGAGAACTTGCTATCACTTTATATGAAGCTCAGAGTCACACACCGACGAAGTACATAATCTGAAAGATACAGAAGTTAAACTTAAGGCATCACACCAAAGAATTGCAGGATTACAAATACATGAAAAACATACAAACTAAAACCCTATGGTATGGGTGTCCTATGTGGATGGTGCCCACCCCAGAGCTGGCACACAGGCTGTGGGGAGGGTTTGTGCAGGGAATGGTGCTGAGCCGTGCCAGGAGGGGCCAGCCCCCATGGCAAGGAGCCTGAGGAGGGGTGGTGGCCGTGTTGGGGTCCCTGTGGGTGTCACAGCATCTGAGGTTTCTCTTGCAGCTGAGGCCTGCAGCACCACGGAGGACGGGGACGAGCCCCTGCACTGCCCCACGGGCTACGAGTGCCACATCATCAACCCGGGCAACACGGCCGAGGGCATCCCCAACAGGGGCCAGTGCATCAAGCTCCGGGGAAACCCAGGTGGGTCAGGCAGGAAACCTCCCTTGGTGGGATGAGGCCATTTCTCACTCACAGATGGGGCAGCAGGAAACCTCCCCCTGTGGGATGGAGCCCTTTTCTCACTCACAGATGGGGCAGCTGAAACACACTTTAAAAACTTTTATAAAATATAAATAATAAATAATATAAATTTTATAATTCATGCCATCACAATCAGAAGCCAACTGTTTCTTAATTACAATACACTTTAAGCATTTCTTGGCCTATCAGCTTTAGCCACACCAATGTTTTAGATGCCTTAAACCCAATAATTAAAATTACCCCTCATGGGTCCCACTACAATGCATCTTTCACAGTTCTGTTTCTGCAAAGTATCCAGTCTTATCTGCAAGACCACACTTTGAAACTTGTTTCTAGCTCCATTTCTCTCTCAGCAATGTTTGTCCTGTTCCATGGTGTTTCTAAGTCAGCATTTCTTGTCTCAAGGTTTGCATACAGATGCACATAGTGTGAGCTTTCTGTCAGGCTTTGAGAATTCTCTACAAATCCATTTGCCACATTTTCCTCTCTCTCTTGAATGGAAAAAACTTCTCGTGCATGCTGATATTTGCAGGGCAGAAGCAGAAAGGAAGGGACCAGGACACCAGGACACTCATGCCAGTGTCCTCTTGGGCTGTGTCTGTGTGTGCTGTGAATACACAGCACAAAAATTAGAAATATTTATAAGTTACTGCATGCTTCAATGAGAAATCTGAGTTTTAAATTCCAGATTTATCTTCTGACTTTGCTTTCTGCATTCAAAACTTCATTGCCTTCATTCTGCTGATGCATTTGCCCGAAAAAGAATTTCACACATGCCAAAATATTTTCCAGGAAAGCTCATAGCATGTGAATGGTAGGATATGTACATTGGCACTGGGCTAAAATCACCTCAGTGCTGAGACACGAGACATCAGTTTTGCCATTTGGTCACTGTAAAAAACAGGAGAAGCATCAAACCAGGTCTCTCAGCTGCTTCCAAAAGAGATTGAGAGTTTTTCCATAATCTCTTTTATAACCTTTTCTTTAATAACATCCACAGTAACCAATGTAATGCAGAACTGTGGGGATCTTAGACATGAAGTATTTCTAAGGGCTTAAATAATTATATAAATGGCAAACAGAACAACTTAGCTGGAACTTGAATTATGTAAAATGCTAAAAGATGGTCTGAAAAGTTACCCAAATTTTATTTCATTTGGGAAAGCCTCTGAATCCTAGACTTGTAGCTATTGAAATGGTTATAAAATGCTAGTGGCAATTCCCACTTTTATGGCAAATGAGTTGTGTCCATAGAGCTCAGTAATCTCAGCAGTTTATAAGAGGTTTATAGCAACCCAAATTACTTCAGCCACAGAGGACTTTTATGTCCCTCATTGTGAGGCTATTATTTCCCTATCTCTAATTTCTCTGTGCTGTACACAGCAGGTCAGAGTTTAACACAAAAAATGAAGCCTGACTCGGTATGTTCTCACCATGAATCTTCTTTTCCAGATGGACACAACCTGAGGCATAAGTATTACAAGGAATATATTGGTAAGCTGCTGGCATGAAGTGGTTGTTATTGTTGTTGTTGTTGTTGTTGTTATTATTTTAAGCTTTATCATTCTTGCAATGCTTACAAGGAATTTGCTCCTTATGAAATGAAGGTTTGTACATAGAAAAAAAAAATATTCTTTATCTTCAACTCTCTATGCCTTGGTCAGATGTTATTTTAAGATCTATGATGTCCTGACTGTGGACTTTTGAGAACCAGAATTTTCAGCTGTGACAGAATGAGTTAAACTGCCAGGGGAACCACTCATTCCAATAATCTTTTTTTTATTTTTAAGCATATTTTTGGAGTTTTGCTCTTGGCCCAGGACTCCTCTGTGTTGAAGCTGAACACAGGGCTCTGTCAAAAGCAGGGTCTTGGGCTGTGGTAAGAGATAAGGGATGGTGGAGCCCAGTGAATTCCCCCAGAGGTGTCAGGTCCCTCTCACAAATCTGGGGCTCAGAGAAGGCAGGAGCATCTCCCACATCTTTCCTCACAGTTCCAAAGCTCCTGGTTCTTCCCTCTTGGATCTGGATCTGATTGGAAGTGACATTCAGGTATAACTAGACAGCAGCTTTGAAACAAGATTTCCAAACAGCCAAATTTGGCCATTTTGTCTGATAAAACCATGAGAGGATTTCCTTTCCTTTCTTCCAGTGTGGGCAAGCCCAGCTCTCTGTTAAATAATAACACCAATAAACCTGCACTGCGGAGGGAACCTCGAGAAACCATTGGCCACAGCCCAACCCAAAACCTGACTTTGCTGATGTTTGTTTTACAGGGAGCAATTCCAACAATTTGGTTGGCTATGTGAAAAACCAGCAGAAGCATTTGGGCTAATTGAAGGTGTGCCTGGGTAAGTGCCCTGTGAATAAAGGGAAAGCTGGGTGGACATAGCTGGTGCTTGGAATGCAATCATTCACAGAAACGTTTTCTGAGAGTGGTATTTCCTCTAAGCAAAATGCTGGAGTAAGGACAGCACCTTAAAACCCTGTGCAGGTGCATGAAACACTCTCATTCCACCAGACACACCTGATTTCTTGGCAGAACCTTTGCCTTGTGGGCATTTAGAGGATGAAAAATAATTGATGTTCCTTAAGACTTTAAACTTTTGTGTTTAGGGGTTTCTTCTAACACAGGTGTAACTGGGCCTGCCAGACAAATTAAAAAGCTATTTATTCTGTTTATTCTGACTGCAGAAAGGGTCAGTCTTGCAAATCCTTCAGCACATGGGGGGTTTTGTGGGATAATTTTCTGTGTGTGAACACTTGTGCTGAGCAGTGGCAGCACTCGTGAGAAAAGGCACATTGATCTGTCAGAGCCAACAGCACAAGCTCTGTCTGTTTTATCAGCCTTGCATCAGGCAAGAATGAAAATATTTATTACACCAAAAGTTCTGTCCCAAGATGGTTTTCTCTACACTTTCAGCTTCACTTTAAAATTAACTTGGGTTTAGCTGGGAGTTGTGAAAACAAAGCAGTTCAGTTCAGTACCTACGTCAGGCTGGCTGTTAAGATTGCTCAGCTACTTAAGGACAAGTCTGTGCAAACATCCTAGGAAGGATAAATATTTTAATTCCTCTTCCTCTCTTTTTTTTCTTTTGTTGTTTGGTTTTCACCCAGCTGGACCACTCTGTCAAGGAATGCTTTACCCAGCAGCTTTCTGGTCCCAGATCTCCACATCTCCAGCACCCCCTGATCCCTGCCCATCACTGACAGAAAAAATTCAATATCCAAGGAAAAGTCCAGACTTTAACCCCACCAGGAAGGGGAGAAATGTGATCCCCTGAAGGAAACCACACTGCTTATCAGCTGCCCTTCTACAAATGAAATGCAAACAGCTCCAAGGGATCCCTGTAAGCCACTGTGCCATGATCAGGCTGCTGACATAGAGCCAGCCCTTCATGTGCTTGTTGTGTGACCAATTCAGATTTCAGGCCTGTGAACACAACCCAGTGACGTCAGAATTCTACCTAAATATCATCTCTAATTTGCTTTAAAACAGGTGAGACTAAAGAGGTTCTCTGGATCAAATCCAGTGCATGCCTGTCTGGAACAACCCCTTTAAAGAAGCCTTTTCACCAGCTTAAACTCAAAGAAATCTGCAAGTTTCTTCTATTTATACCCAGATAAAAACCAGGCTTGACACCCACTCTAAATGGCTAAACCTGAAGTTTTAAGAATTTGAGGAAGTTTAAGCTAGGAGCAAAAACAGCTTTATAAATGCTTTTAGGTTACTTTCCTCTTCTCAGTCTGGTGAGCTGCAGATTGAGAGTTAATAATGGAACAAATTCCTTCCTACAATATCCAGGCTGACACACAAATGCATGCCAGGTTTTGTAATGTGCTGTTTTTAGCCAGCACAGTTAATACTCACAAAATCTGGGGGTTTGTACCTGCAAAACCTCAGCAAGAGGCCTGAAGTCTGGATAATTGGTTAAATGTGTTAGAAAATCAAACCCAGGATAAATTTGTGTGCTGAAAAGGATTGTCTGGCAGATGGGCCACTGCTCCTCAGGAGTCCTGTACCTTTTGTGTTGATTTCCCTAAATCCTTAAAGTCTGGATATTTGTATTTGGGCCTCACAGCTTCTTTTAGCTGTTTACCATTATACAATGGAAAACACATTTTCTATTAAGGTTTTCCTTTCCTGTGGCAGTCCTGAAGGGACAGTTGCATTTATTGTGACAAACCAGCCAGAATTGTCTGGCAGAAAAGCCACATTTGCTCCATGGTTTAGTCCATGTCCCCATCTGCCTGCATGAAATTAACATTTTCATTTGCACAGTAGTAGCACCGCATATAAATACCCAATTCACAAACGCAAGCCCCTGCTTCCACTCACAAAATACAGGATTTTTTTTTTCCACTCACTAAATGGTTTAAGCCAAATCCAAGACACCTATAAAACTCTTGATGCTTTGCACATGACATTTGCAGCTGGAGAGATGGAAGGTGCCAAAGTGCTCTTCTGTTTCCTATTCTAAACACACTCCTGGGTGCTTTACAGAGCAAAGAACAGCTGAAGGGCTCCACATTTTCCTAAATATCTCCGTTTGCTGTACTCACTCTTTTTCAAAGTGCAAGATATTAAATGCAGCACCATGTTTGGGCAGAGATATTTCTGTAATTTTATCCTATACAGCTTCCTGCAGTGAGATCTTAATTCTTGCTTGGACACAGGGGCCACAGAACCAGAGAATTTTGGAATGGTTTTGGAAGGGAGTTTGAATCTCATCACCTCCCACTAGACCAGGTTGTCCAGGCTCCAATCCATATTTTATAGTTCTAATCTGTGTTCAGACCAGAAACTTGTCACTTGTCCTACTGCAGCCTCCCTCCTCAGTGCTGCTCAGTGAAATGCATTGGTTTTGTTCAGCATTACTTCCTGCAGGAAAAAAAAAAAAATCAAATTCTGATTAAATGAGCAAAGCCCTGAAGTGATCACTGCTGGCCCCAAAGGGTAAATACCAAAATGTTCAATTTTAAACTAAAAAATTCCTAAAACCTTGTGAGGAGCTAGTTGAAAAATTGGTGGTGTGCATTCACAAATTTGAAAGATTAAAACTTCAAATCTCAGCCTAATCTCTCAAAGCAGCCCAAAATATGCTTAATTTGAGTGGACACATTCACTTCAGTGTCTGTTTTCTTTGTAGCTGCAGAAGCACATACCTGACCTCCTGGGTGGGACAGTGCAGGTATTTTCTGCTTGCAAAAGGAATTTAAATTAAAAAAGAAAAAAAGAAAGAAAGAAAATTGACAAATTAATAATTTGATGATGAATTTCTGTTTACTGGGTGTTTCACAGCCATCACCCTTCTATAGTGGTGCTATAATGCTCAGGGGGATTTTTCCAGGTTAATTCAAGTTATTAATTGTCAGACTGAGAAACAAAAGCCACAGGAGGGACTTGACAAAGTTTTCAGCAGTGAGACACTGAAATGTGAAACTCAGACACTGAAATGAAAACACAGAGCAGGTGATCTGTCCTCAGCTGCCCTGCTCTCCAGAAACAGATGCTCCATCATCAGCCTGGTGCAGCACAGTAGGAAATGCCTGGTGTAGGATGTTTTTAACCTTTTCATGACCACTCTGCAGCGTGTTTGGTGCTATGATAACCGTCCTGTGTGCCACTGAGTGCTGCACTGCCCACAGCTCCCACATCCCCGAGGATCTGGGCAGCCCCAGGAGGCCCCTCCCTGGTTTGTGCTGCTCAGGTTCTGCTTTGGTGCTCAATAAAAAGTGACCAGTCTATTTTTCAACCCTGCTGAGTTTCTGTTGTGTCTTCTTGATGTACTTGCAGCTTTGGATTAGGGGAAAAAAAAAATGGAGAAAACTTCTAAATTTTACTTGTTGGGAGAACATAACACAAGCATAGGGAGACAAAAGTCATTTTGCCCACTGGGAGGGAGGTGATAGACCCCAAAACACATCCACCACTTCTGTTAGCTTTCAGAAGGGCCCCTGTTTTTGGTCAGACCCTCAGTTCTTGGCATTTTCACGGCCCACAGAGGAGCTGGCAGACAGTGGTGCCCCAGCAGAAGTGACCCTTTGCACTGGGGCAGTGCTGGGGCTGCCAGCTCAGGTGCTTTGGGCTGCACCAGCACTGCCCAGGCAGCTTTGCAGGAGCCTCAGAGGGTGAAGAAACCGAACAAGGTGAAGGTCAGAGCTGGGCTGTGCCCACTGCAGGACAGAGCTGGCACAGCACAGGGGTTGGGCCAATCCCAGCCTCCACCACCCTCCTGCCCCACCCAGGATCCTGCTCTACCTGCTCCTCAGCAGGGACAGGAGTGCTCCTGCTCTGCCCTGACAGCACAGCAGGGACGGGAGCTGCCTGCAGGGACAGCAGGGACAGGAGCTGCCTGCAGCTGAGCCACAGGGGGACAGCAGCAGGGCTGGCACTTGGGAAGGGCTGGGGGGTTCTGGTGAGCCCAGGCAGCTCCAGGTGGCAGGGAAGCTCCTCACTGTGCCAGGGAAGGTGTCCTTGGCACCACTTGGATCTCTTTTGGTCTTTGGGAGCCTTGGGATCACTTGGACCTCTTGTGGTCCTTGGGATCATTGGACCTATCATGGTCGTTGGGATCCTTGGGATCATCCTTTAGATGCCCTTGGTCCTTAGGATCACTTGGAACTCTCGTGGTCCTTGGGATCCTTGGGATCACTTGGAACTCTCATGGTCCTTGGGATTCTTGGGATCTCTTGGACCTCTCATGGTCTTTGGGATCCTTAGGATCACTTGGACCTCTTGTGGTCCTTGAGCTTACTTGGGATCACTTGGACCTCTTGTAGTCTTTGGGATCACTTGGATCTCTCATGGTCCTTAGGATCTCTTGGGATCACCCAGACCTCTCGTGGTCCTTAGGATCATTGGACCTCTCATGGTCCCCGGGATCCTTGAGATCACTTGGACCTCTTGTGGTCCTTGGGATCATTGGACCTCCCCATTTGGATGAAGAGGTCACAAAGGGTGTGCACATAACTCCTGTCTCCTGCTGGGAATTGTGACAGCAACCACGAACCTCAGCTTTCAGGAGAATGATTTGTTTGGTGAACACCTCAAAATCATGGTTTCATTTCAGCTCATTTCCAGGCCAATACAAGCAAAAATGGTTTCTGCTGCTGTAGTTTGGTTCTGATCTTTGAAGGAAAAGCACAGCATGACCTGAGCAGTGTCTGGAGTGACACTGAAGTGCTGCCAGGGCATCCCAGGAACCAACAACGGGATCAACAGAAGGCATAACAAAATAGATCTTCAAGGAGTCTACTACCACCAGAATAATATAAAATAAATTCTGATGTACCACTCTGTGGCATTGGAGTGTCTTGGTCACCTTCAGGAAGTTTTCCATAGTTTGCTGAGCAGTGAAGAAGCTTCTGAGGTTTGGACAACCCATAAAAGAGTTTTTGGAGGCTGGAGGGTTTCTCTTTGCCCATGACACAGCAGGGGTTGGCTCATACAGGGGTTGTTTTCTTCTCCCACCTCACCCTGGGTGCACAGGATTCCCCTCTGGAGGTGGGGTTGGGTGAGCATTGATTGTCTCTCTATGGCAAAAAGATTTACTGCATCATCTAGGATCCTGTAAGGGTAAATTTAAAAAAAAAAACCAAAAACGCAAACCAAAAAAACCAAACCAAAACCAAACAAAAACAAAACAAAAATAATCAACCAAAAACACCAAACCCAAAACAAACAAAGAAAACCACCAACAAAAACAAACAAACAAAAATGTCAAAAAAGAACCCCAACTTTTTCTGGTGAGTCTGCAGAGGTAAATCCTATTTCTTCCCATTATTTTCTTCTCCTTGTTATTTTTCCATGCAGACAAAATAGCAAGAACAACAAGAGAGGCTGTGTAAACCAAAAAGGATTTTTAAAGAGTTTCCCAGACAGAGCTGTGGATGGTGGGGATTGTTCCACCCATCCTGAGCATCCCACCAGGTGAGTCTCCAAATTTAAGCAATGGAAACTGTGCAAAAAGAAACCAAAAGTTTTATTTAAATTCCCTCTTCCTTCCCCATTACACACCTGGGGACAGACCTATGGATTTGGGATTATTATGGATTTTGGATTTTACTCAACCTTCATGGGACGAGATTTTTTTTGCTTTAAAAACCAGGAGCAGCAGAAGTTCTGCCAAGGAAAATCCCAACCCAAAAGTGAATTGGATTTTTGGGTGGCAGCAAACTCCATTCTACCCATGCAGAAGAGATTTTTTCCCTCAAGGTGGCACAAGAGGAACAAAAGTGCAACAAGTCCTGGTTCTGGCAGGGGAGCAGGTGAAGGAGCTGTGAGGTTTGAGCTCACAGCATCATAATTTTGGGCTCAGGGGTTCTCAGAGAATTGCTCCTTTGCTCTGTGTGTTTTCATAACAGATATTTTCTACTTAAAAGACAAAAAAAAAAAAAGGTTTCCCAAATAATCTCCTTAGAACTGGAGCTTTATTATCCAATTAAATAGGAAATACTGTAAGGGCACTGCAATTGGGCTGTGTGTTATGTTTTTACAGTATGAAAATGATAGAGTGAAGAAATACAACTTGTATTAGTGTTGTTTTCTTAACATTATAGTCCTGATTCAGTCTATTCCCAGCATTTTCTGAGCCATGGGATGGCAAAATACATTAATTTTGCATTAGATTTCCTAACATGCAGAAATCAACAGCAGCAAGAAAATGAAACTTGAGTCCGTTCAGCAATTTCTCAGAGTGAGGGGAAAACAGCAACATTATTTTCCTGCATTTATTCCATCTCATCAAATACAATTTCCCATAACAGAACTGAGGGAACACAAAGATGAGAGAGAAGGATGTGGGTCCTGAGCCCAAACCAGGCTGTTCCTCCCCAGTTTGCTGGATAATAAAACAGCCTGCTTTGATTGTTATGGTGCATTATTATTATTATTATTATTATTATTATTATTATTATTATACTCATAAACATGTTTTTCTCCTTTTCTGTGTCCTTTTTGTCTTGAAATTTCTGCCAGTCCCACTCAGGCCATTGTTCCCCCTCCCTAACCCCAGGTGTGGCCGTGGTGCAGATTTTGGATTTTGCTCTTGCAGCTCCATGTGTCCCTACAAGCAGCAGGGTTGTGCCAAGGGGATGATGCTAAATAAGGAAAGGATCAGCCTGTTGTTTAATTAGCCATGGTGGCTAATGAGGGCCACGCAGGGCACAGCACAGCCCCAGGATGCTCCTCACGGGCAGCAGCATCAGGGATGATGGGTGAGGATTTGGGGTGAGAAAAGCAAAAGAAAAACCAAAGAGAAATTTTCTTCCTACCTGCCTAGAGAGGGGGAAGATATTTTCCACCACTCTTCTGGCAGGAACACAAGGATTTGGAGTGATGTTAAGATTGTGGAGGCCACAAACAGGCTCAGGTGGGCAGGGGGAGGGATTCCCTGGCAGGCCGTGCTGCTGTGCCCTGTCAGGAGCTGCCAGAGCCAGCTGGACGCGCTCCAGCTCTTTGGAAGAGCTGCACCAGGAGGGGAAAACCCGTTCAAGAGCACAAACGAGCTCAGAGAGGTTTCACCTCCTGACTCCCATACGATAAAGTCCAAATCCCTCTGTATCTGCTCCAAGCACCTTACCTAAGCCCTGGGCAGGGCCTGGATGTGAGATTCCCGAAAATCAGAGCCCAGCATCAGCGCTGGCTCCTTTCCCACGGGAAGGAGCGCTGTTGGGTGATGCAGGAGCTCCCTCCCTCTGCCTGACGCATCCCGCTCGGATCCTTGCGAAAGAATTGCTCAATTCCCGGCAGCCGGGAAGCCCCAGCTGGGTTTTACAAGGTCCCGGCTCCTTGCAGCGTTTCCCAATCGCTGTGTTTTCCTCCCAGGCTGGGTAGAAACCCCTCCTTCCCTCCACAGCACCTCGGTGAGTGTTCTCTGTAGCTGTGTGGGGTGTTCCAGGGGCTCCCCAGTTTTTCCTGGATCTGGGGGATGCAAGCAGGATACAGATGCTCCATGGAAAAGCAGCATTTTGGTCAGGGGTTTTGACACCACAGGCTGTCACAGAGGTCCAGGGGCTTGGCCTCATTGTGGTCCAGAGCAAAATAAATGTGCAGTTTTCTGGACATCGTCCTTGGAGGAAACTCTTCTCCTGCAGAAAAGTGCACATGTGTTTTTCTCTGGCTGGGAATTACTTTTATTCCCTCGGTGCAGTTTTTACTGTCAAAGGAGGATCTGAAGCTCGCAGGTTACACCTCAGGGGCAGTTTAAGGGTAAGTGGATCCTGCAGTCACAGGGCCTGGGGGAGGATGTCGGCCTCCTGGGGCAAACCAGAGCGTGATGCTCCCTGACAGGCAGCCATAAATCTTTGGGAATGATGCAACCAGGGCACTTTATCAATCCTAGAATCACAGAACCAGAGGATAGGGAGCTGGAAGGGACCCACAGGGATTACTGAAGTCCCGTTCTGGACATCAAAATCCAACCACCACAGTCCACTAAGGTGTTGGGCTTCACCACGAAAGCACAAACGAAACACTGTGGGTTTTGATAAATGATCATTACAGATCCCCACATCACAAATCCATCATGTAAACACTCCTAAATACCAGCACTGTGCTGACTGGAGCATTTCCTAAGGAGAACCATCCCAGCCTGGAAGTTTACAAACAGGCTCGGCCGCGCATGTAACCTATCCCCGGCCAAACACCTTCCCTATCTCCCCGCCGACGCTCCTCCCGCAGCAATCCTTCTGAGGGCGGAGGAATAACCCCAACCTGCTCTTCAGGTGCCCATGGAGGTGTGCCTGGTGTCGCAGCCCGGTGTCACACACAGCCAGCCTTCCCGGCCGGCTTTTATGGGCGCAGCTCGCAGGGCGCGCACCTCCCTGCGGCGGCCAGGGAAGGAAGGCGTGACTTGGCCGCAGCTCCAGGTGCCTCTGTCTCCCTGCAGGTAACCCCGAGCTGCCGGGGAGACCGAGCCAGCCCTGCTGCTGCTCCCAGCCTGCTCATCCCGGTGGTCCCGTCCCGCTGACCCCGGTGGTCCCGGTGGTGCCGCCCCGCGGGTCCCGGAGAAGATGGGCCAAGGGAGCATCACCAAATTCTTCCAGAAAAAGTCGCTCCTCCGCTTCGTGCAGAAATATCAGCCCCTGGGAAGCGGCGAGCCGGAAGAGGAGGTGAGGATTGCCTCTTGCCCGGACCTGCTGGGATGGTTTGTGTGTTTGGGGTTTGCTCTGTGCTCTTTGCCGGGTTTGTCCCGCCGGTAACTCGAGAGCGCTGTGGCCGCGCTGTCCCCGCTCCGTGCGAGGCTCCGGCAGCACGGGGATGGGGCGGGTGCTGTTTGCCAGGGTCAGGAGCCATGGGGAGCCTTGTTTCTATGCAGGAATCCAAGAGCTGAGGCCCGAATCCTGCCCAGGAGCTTTATTCCCTGCTCTGAGGAGCTTCCAAACCAAGGAAGAGCGTGGGAGAGCCCTGGAGTGCCATGGGAGTGTGGGCACGGCAGGGGAAATGGAGAGCGGGGCTCCCCTGTCACCAGGGTACCCTGCCACCAGTGCTGGTCACTGGCTATGGGGCTGTGACCCTGGGGCTGTGACCCTGGGGATGTGACCCTAGGGCTGTGACCCTGGAGCTGTGACCCTGGGGATGTAACCCTCAGGATGTGACCCTGGAGCTCTGACCCTGGGGATCTGACCCTTGGGCTGTGACCCTGGAGCTGTGACCCTCAGGTTGTTCCTGCACCCTCTGTCCTGTTCCTGCAGTCAGGGCTGGCAGTCAGTGGCCAAGGAGAGTTTTGGCTCAGACCTGCAGAATCCACTGGGAAATATTGCTTTCCTACCCTGAAAAATGCTGCACTGCTGTGCCCTCCTTGTCCTCAGCACAGATGGAGTGCCCAGTGCTGGTTTGGATGACATATTTGATGTTCTTCTTGGTTTTTCACCACAAAATCTTCCAGTCTGGGATGATCTGACTATTTGCTCAGCACAAGGCTCCCATGGCTCAAGCCCCAGTTTTTCTGGCATGTGGCAGATGGGTTGGGTGCTCTGCCACGTGAACCCCATTTGTGTAATCCCTTCAGCTTAGCCCTTACTGCCAACCCAATGAATTCTAACCACACACTTGGAGAGATTCATGAGCTTTTCCTGAGTGACTGAAGCCTTTCCCAGCTATCATTTCAGCTAATCCCCTTTCTGAGTCTCGCCTGCCCAGTGTGGGCTGGGTCAGTGCCACAGGGAGAAGAAAATGAGACACTGAACTCTCACCCTGCGCAGTGCATGGGGTGATGCTGCTCTGCACTGCTCAGCCAGAGCTCTAAACCCCAGCAAAAGAAGATCTTGATGAGGTTACAGAAAGTCCCTGTGCCCTGGCTTGGTGGGCAGCTGGGATTTCTGATTGCACGTAGGCAGGAGGCCACTGGCAATTAGGCTGGCTTGTTCTTAGGCTGCACCATTTATGCTGTGCCAAAATAAATAGTGCCATGTATTTACTTCCAAATCTAAACCCCTCTTGAGTTTTAGCTCTGGTCCTTGCAGAGAGTGGTGTGTGTGTAACAGAGGAGGGAGGTGAGGAGAGCTTTGGCATGGGGAAGGAGGTAGACAGCAGTGTAAAATGAAAATAAGAACTTGGTAAATCAAACTTATTCCCAGAATTGTGTGTTTCCTGCAGAAATCTGAAGAACAGGCAAAGATTTTTCTTCTGAGCATCCCAGTGTGTGTGAAAGTGGGAGAAAAGCCTGGGCACTGCTTCTTTACATCCCCCTTTCCCTCTGCTCAGGCACCAGGGGCACCTCAGTGGGCACAGCCCAGGGCAGGACTCTCAAGGGGCTGCAGCTGGATGCTTCAAATCAGCTTCACTGCAAACCTGGGGCCTTTTGCACAATCAAAGGCATTACTTTGAAATTTGTATCTGCAAGCAGGGGGACCAGATCTTTGTTTCATGTGAAAAATATTGGAATTCTGTTGAAAGATGTGCAACAGGGAAGTAAGAAATTGTGTGGGAGGTGCAGAAATGGTGGTGGTGGTGGTGGTGGTGGGAGCTTGGAGAGGGAAGCCCAGCAAGGCAGCTCCTCACCTGCAGGGTGAATTCTGCATTCTGCCTGCACCCCTGGAACAGGGCTCCTTTTGCCTGCCATGTCCATCCAAAAACAGAAATGTAAAAGGCTTTGGAGAGAATAGTTTGATTAATTTATTGGGTTTTTGGCAGGATAAAGTTTAATATTTGGAAGGGCTTCATGTAATCGAAATAACCCAGCCCTCTCTGGATTGCAGTCCATTAGCTGCTCCAAAGTAACCCAAGACAGGGAAAAGAATATGCAAAGCCTCAGCCTCAGCAGAGGTGGGGGAAAATCCCGAGCACTGATATTTTGGGCTGTTTGCCAGAGTACACAAAAAGGGCTGTGTGCTCTGCAGAAAGCCCCACGCTCTCTTTCTTCCACATGGGCTGCTCAGTGGCACAATTGATGGATTGTTTTGGGATGAGGGATGCTCAGGTACCTCCAAGGTGGCTCCCAGCCACACCAGCTGCTCCTTACAGCCCCCAATATCTCCTGATCTTGCAAAGCAATGGATAAACTGATAATTCCCCTTTTGTTATATATTATATTTGTTATATTTGTCTTCCTACCCTGCTGAGTGGAGTCTGTGCTCTTGTGCAGAGAGGATAAAGGTTATAAATGTAAATGGATATCGTGGATAAGCCACATCTGCTTTGCAATGTAAATACAGAGGCAGGAGAGGTTTGTTTGGGAAGGGATTTGCACAGGACACTGCCTGGCACCCAACATCCACGGGCTGGGATGGGATTGGAGCACAAAGGCAGCAAATGAAGAGGAGGAGGAGGGAGATGAAGCCCCTCTGATGCATTCCAGGGGCTGTTCTGGTGGGAAAAGCTGTGCCATGCTCATGAGGAAGAAACCCGTTATTGGGAGAACTCATCCCAGTGAAGCTGTTCCTGTCACAGCAGCCCCTGGAGCAGGGAGCTGAGAAACCACAGAGGGCTCAGACACATCCACAGCCTTTGGCATTTATTTCCTCCACACCTTTTTGAAGGTAAATATTGCTGATAGAGCCGGGTCCTGCTTTCCTTGGGGACTGCAGGCATGTTATCTTCATGTCCAGGTCTCTTCCTGCCCTCCAGCTGCTTTTATTAAAATTTAAACTCCTCCAGGGCAGAGCTGTACCTTGATAGCTGTGTGTGTCACCTGCAGCACAGAGGAGCCACATTAATCAGGCTGGCAGTGAATTCCAGGATGTGTTTATCCATGGCAGCCTTGTGTTTTCTTCCCACCAAACCCTTCCATCTCCATAAGTGGCTTTTTGGGATTTCAGTGTCTGGATGTCAACAAAGTTACAGGGAACTGATGGATTTGTACAACCAGGACATCCAAACAGGTGTATAAATCAAATAAATCCCCCAAAGAGGGATATAAATCCAATAAATCATGAGTTTTAAACATGGAATGGGTATTTTTGTCCCTTCTCAAGAGGTCTGTTAAGGAGATGTGGAAATAAGGGTGATGTCCAGTGCTAGGATGGCTCAAAAAGGGGAGCAGTGCTGCAGCTTCTCTGGGCAAAATGGGGTCACCAGCTTGAGGGAAATGTCAGGAAATGGCCATAAAAAGGGGCTACAACAGATGGATATGGCTAAAGCCTGGTCCAGGAGCAGGGCTTACAGACACTCTGAGCCCTCCAGAAACCCCAAGACTGAAACCAAGTCCAGAGAGAACAGCCAAGAACATTTTCTGCATTTTTTATTTTCTGCATTTATCATTTTCTGCATTTATCTCAGGCTTTAGATTGCAAAGCCCTGCATGGTCCTAGAAAGTTCCTGAATATTCAAGTCCCCAAATGCCCCTGCAGGAGGATGAGCCAGACCTGAGTGCCTCCCACAGCAAACATCCCAGGGTGCTGGGAGCTGGTGCCCAATGCCTGCCACACTCTCTGGGGGCTCCTTTCTTAATGAACACATTAAATTCATTAAACACATTTTTAATGAACCCATTTCTGTGCTTTATGGATGAAGGGAAAAGGGAATGTAGATCCTCTCCCTTGGGAAGGGGGAGATTTCTCCCTCTCTGTACTCAGCCTATCACAATGCCTTCATCATGGGCCTGGCAGAGGTTTTGGGGATGCTGCTACTGTGGGAATTGCATTTTAGAGAAGGAAATGGAGGGAATTAAAAGGGAGAGGTTGGGATGCTGAGGGTTTGGGCTGCCTGGATGGGGCAGAAAGGATTTACCAAGCTTGGAGGAGCTGCAGATCAGTGGTGGAGAAAAACAGCCCTGGACACAGGAGGGGAGGTTTTACCTCTTCTGGCTCACATTTTCAGTTCATTTATTGTGTTTTTAGGAGGGAAAAATGTTTTCCTTGCTCTGAGCATCGAGTCTGGGCTGTGAGACCCTGGCTGGGGACAGAGCAGCTGTGGGCAGGACACTCAAACAGAACAAACCTTTCCTGATCAGCACAAACCTCTCCTGACCAGCACCATGAGCTTCCCTTTGTGGCTCCCCTGCTCCTCACAGCCTCTCTCCCCCCACAAGAACCTGCCCCTGCCTTTAAGCCTGCTCTCAGGATTAATTAGAGCTGCCATTAAAGCTCTGAGATTTGGGAAGTGGTGTAGCGACTGAAGGAGCCCAGCTGGCAAGGGGAGGGGAGGGAATGGGATGAAGGGAAAAGCAAGGAGGTGCTGGGAAGCTTTAATTAACACTGCTCTCACCTGATGATTGCTTTGGTGTGTTTGCTCAGCCCCAGCAGCAGTGTGAGCTGAAAATCATCCAGCAGGAGCAGGAGGTGGCAGTGCTGCCCCCGAAGGACGCCTGTAAATGCCAAAAGGAGGACTTGGCAAGAGCCCTCAACGTAAGGATCTGCCCTTGGGAATGTGGGATCTGCCTGTGGGAAGGGCCTGAGCTGAAAAATCAGCTTTTAATTGCCTTGCAAACTCCTGGAGTGCCCAACCCTTCTGACTTTCTGCGGGATGGATCCTGTGAGGGTCCCCACAGCCAGGGAAAGCTTTAGTGCTTGGCTATAATTTGGTTTCCGACCTGAGTATTTTTTAAATCCAGGCAGAATAGATTTTATCCCTTCTCATTTTGTTCCCTTTGAGTTTTGTCAGGGTGTATTTGTTTTTATTTTCTCTTTAAATATACAGTGCAGTCAAAAAACCCTTCTTTCTTTTACTATTTTACATTTCTAATTCATAGTCAATGGTAAAATTTCTGGTACAATTTCTCCCTTTTGGGAATATACTTTTTTTTTAATTAACTTGTGCTTACTTCATGGGTTTCTGCGATGGTTGATGGTAAAATTTTATAGTTTAACAAAAATATATATTTAAACAGAAAAACAACAGAAGGATTTATTTTCTTCATGTGGGACTGAGCCATGAAGATCTTGCCTAGTCTGCTAATAGGGGTTTAATATGAATTTGACATAATAAGTTTTCTGTAGCTGTGATATGAAATGTTTGGGTTGGGTTTTTTCCCTCTAGGTTGATTTACAGACTGGACTCTCTGAGTTTTCTGTGCTCCAGCGCCGGTCAAAACACGGCTGGAATGAATTTTCAGTAGAGAACACAGAGCCAATATGGAAGAAATATCTGGACCAGGTGAGGATTTTCTGCACAGATCCTCATTTCTTGGCAGAAACAAAACCTGGCAGGGTTTTGCTGAGCGTGTGCCTGCATTGAAATATTCAGGGTTTCTACTTCCAGAGGCTGAGCCTTGGAACAGGCTGTGCCCTGGGCACAGGAACTGCTCCTTCCCCTGGGAAAAGCCACTCTGAGGCTCCTCTGCAGCTCCCTGAGGGTGCAGATAACATCTGCAGACAGAAATGGATCTTTTTATCCCCACACAGCCCACAAATCAAACTGTAGATCAGATTGCTGGCGCATATTTATTCCCTTTAAGGCAAGTGAGAAATTCATGAAAAGTTTGAGGAAAACCAGTGGCTGGAAGATGCTCTGATTTTGGAAGATGCTCTGATTTTGGCTGTCCTTCTAGGAAAGGGGCAGCTGTGGAGCTCAGAGGAGTTTCAGGGTTTTGAAGGGTGACCTAGGACAGAGATTAGATGGAGATAAAGTAGGGATTCATTAAGAGGAGCCACCTTGGGCAGCACAACCCAAAATGGTCCCAAAAAAAATGGACAATTGGTCACGGGGTCCCTCACTTTGAAAGCTGAGCTAGAACAGAGGCTGGACAGAATTACAGAATAAAGCAGGGATTTATTAAAAGGATCTCCTCAATGGATCCTTTTAATATTCATTAAGAGGAGCCACCTTGGGCAGCACAAGACCCCAGCCAGGGCTGCACTCAAGGTGGACCAAAATGGTCCCAAAATGAGCCCAAGATGAACCAAAATGGTCCCAAACTGAACCCAAGATGAACCAAAATGGCCCCAAAATGCACGAGCGCTCCCAGGGTCTCTCCCTGGGATCAGTTCTGCTCCATTTGCACCTTGCAGTTCATTGTCCCATTCCAGCTTTAGCCCATGCAGTCCCACCCTGCTTGTTTTTCTCTCTCCAGCCCACGGGGTTTGTGCTCCTGGGCTGAGATTGGGATCATTTGTCCTTGGTGCCCAGCTGGAGCAGGAATTGTTTTGTGTCCCTGCTCTGTGCACAGAGCTCAGCATCCCTGATGTGAACCCAGACCCACACACTAAAGCAGCACAGAGTGTGGAAAATAGAAAAGCTAAACCTGAGGCGTCAGGGTTTCTGTCGGTGACACACCAGTGACAGGTACATTTAGAAGTGGTGCCATGTGCTGTTGACACCCACAATTTCACACCAACTGCCCCAAAAGCGAGGCAAAAAGTGATATTTGTTATCTTGTCTTTCCTCAGATGAGCTATCCTTGACTTTTGCTTTTATTAACTATTTCTCATCAGTATTTAATACATCTTTCACCTCTCTTTGAGAACTTTTATCCAGACAAGAAGGGCCTTTTGTTTGTTTTTATTTTTCATTTCCAACCAGTGATTTGACTGATCTTGCTTAGCTGAATCACAAGGATTTGAGTTGCTTTGAAAGACTTCATTTTTATTTCATGGTTTATCCCTTTTTTTATATATATAAGATTTATATCCTTTAAGCTTTTGGTAAGGATCACTAAATCTCTCCAAGGATTCTTTTATTCCTGATAAAAAGTGAGATTTTTTTTTTTCTGCTCAGCCTTAAGAACCAGTTTCTCCTACAGGGACACCAAAGGGATTTGTTGGTACATCTCCGATCCTCCTACAACCTTTTGGTGCCTCTGCTCCTGCACCATTCACACCCAGCAGCCCCTTGCTGTTGCTTTTTCCAGTTGCTATTTTTGTAAACATCCCCTTTGCCTTGGTTTTCTAAAGAGAAATGGAGAGACTTTCACCTTTGGATCCATCCAGGAATAAATTTAAACCCTGGCTTTCCTGCTGAGCATCACCACACATCTGTTGCACAAAGCAGGCAGATTTATCTATATCCATTTAATTCCTTTCCATCAATTCCCACATCAGTTAAGCAGAGCTGTAATTTTCTTAGGTAGCAAAAGGGGCCTCAAAATCTCTGCTTAGAAGTGAAACAAGTGAGCACCTGACTCCCACAGCCCTCAGTCCAGTGAAGATTTGAGCAGATTAATTAAAAAATGAAAAAGAAGAAGAAAGAGGATTTATGGTTTCAGATTCTAAAAAGACAGTAAAGGTTTTGTTTGTTCTTATTGTGCATCTAAGGAGCTTTTGGAATCAGCTCTGTGTCTGCAAAGGGGAGCAGTGCCCGTGCAAAAAGGGGAGAAGTGGGGGGATTCAGGTTTTGGTGTGAACTTCACAGAGTTCACAGAATGACCAGGTTGGAAGAGACCTTCAAGATCATCGAGTCCAACCCAGCCCCAACCCTTCAACTAAACTTTGGCACCCAGCGCCACATCCAGGCTTTGTTAAACACACCCAGGGATGGGGACTCCACCACCTCCCTGGGCAGCCATTCCAGAACTTTATCACTCTTTCTGTGAGAAACTTTTCCCTAATATCTACCCTATATTTCCCTTGGTGCAGTTTGAGACTGCAGCAGAGTTTTTCCTGCTGGTCCCCGAGGCCACCAAATCCCTGTGGGGCAGGAACTGCAGAACCTGACCATGATGTAAGGAGGGTCCTGGAGCAGAACCATCCAGGGACCCTTCCTGAAGGACACTTCCTGAGGGACCCTTCTTGTGGGACTGTGGGACCCCTCCTGAGGGACCCTTCCTGCAGCAAAATCACCCAGGGACCCTTCCTGCTGGGCCCTTCCTGTGGGACTCTTCCTGAGGAACCCTTCCTGCTGTAACCCTTCCTGAGGGATCCTTCCTGAGGAACCCTTCCTGTGGGAATGAGGAACCCTTCCTCGTGCACCCTCCCTGCTGGGCCCTTCCTGAGGAACCCTTCTCATGGGACCCTTCCTGTGGGATCCTTCCTGCTGGGCCCTTCCTGTGGGATCCTTCCTGTGGGATCCTTCCTGCTGGATCCTTCCTGCTGGGCCCTTCCTGAGGAACCCTTCTCATGGGGCCCTTCCTGTGGGATCCTTCCTGTGGGATCCTTCCTGCTGGGCCCTTCCTGTGGGATCCTTCCTGAGGGACCCTTCCTGCTGGGTTTGCAGCCGGCTCACCTTCAGCACCTCTCCTTCCATATTTCCCTTGTGTTCTCAGTTCAAAAACCCCCTCATCCTCCTGCTGCTGGCCTCAGCTCTGGTGAGCGTCGTCACCAAGGAGTACGAGGACGCCGCCAGCATCACCATGGTGAGTGTCACCTGTCCCTATCACCATGGTGGGTGTCACCTGTCCCCATTACCGTGGTACATGTCACCTGTCCCCATAACCATGGTGAGTGTCCTGTCCCCATCACCATGGTGTCACCTGTCCCCATCACCATGGTGAGTGTCACCTGTCCCCATCACCATGGTGGATGTCACCTGTCCCCATTACCATGGTACATGTCACCTGTCCCCATAACCATGATGAGTGTCACCTGTCCCCCTCACCATGGTGTCACCTGTCCCCATCACCACAGTGCGTGTCACATGTCCTATATCACCACCAGAGGGTGTCACCTGTCCTTTATCTCCATAGTGGTGGCCCCATCACCCATGTGACACCTAACCTTTGTCCCCATGACGGTGGCCCCTGTCCTTGTCCCCATGGTGGGTGTCACCTGTCCCCCATCCCCACAGTGAGTGTCACCTGTCCTTTGTCCCCATGGCGGGTGTCACCTGTCCCGCATTCCCACACTGAATGTCACCTGTCCTCATGGTGGTAGCCCCTGTCCTTTGTCCCCACGGTGGTGGCCCCTGTCCTTTGTCCCCATGGTCCCTGTGCCCACACCTGTCACCTCTCTGTTCACAGGCCGTGCTCATCGTGGTCACCGTGGCCTTCATCCAGGTGGGTTGTGCAGAGCTCTGCAGTGGCCATGGCCAGCAGCACAGAGCCCCTGCTGTAACTTGGCTCTCCTCTCCTTCTCCTTCCCAAGGAATATCGCTCAGAAAAGTCCCTGGAGGAGCTCAACAAGCTGGTGCCCCCCGAGTGCAACTGGTGAGCCAGGGAGGGGGCTGAGAGGGCAGCACCAAAGGGAGAAGGGGATTATTCCAGGCTGTGGTGCACATAGTGAGGAGCTGGTCTCTGGAGGGTTGGCACTGTGAATGGGTGCAGCTCTAGGTTGGGGATGAAATAATCAGTATTGATCAGAAATTATTAGAATTTTTGTTTAACTATTAGGAAAAAAATTAGAAATAAGGAGTAGGCACCCTGTGGAATAAATAAATGCTAAGACAGGAGAGTCCCAGAAAAATCTGCTCCACATCCCTGCAGCATCCTCTCTCCCCAGGCAGGAAAAACCCCACCTGTGTGTGCATTTTTTTGGCTTTAGGGTAGTTTTTCCCCACAAGAGCTGGGCACAAAGCAGCACCTGAGTGCAGTGCAGGTGGAATGGGGTTCCTGTCCTGCCTGGTGCTGCACACACGTGTCAGGCACAGGCACAGCCAGGTCACAGCCCATGGAGCAGCTGCAGGGTGGATCAGACACCGCTTTCCCCAGGGCTTTGATGTTTTTTATCAGTGCTGGAAATCACAAGAAACGTGTTCCTTATTTATGTCTTTGCAAATCAGTTTTGTCACAGTGAACAGGAATAAGTTGTGAGGCTCAGGAAGCCTTGCCCTGCCAAAGAGGTGTGGGGCTTTCCTCTGGTACAAAGTTCACCCTGGAGCTTACAAACCCCACTGCTGGTTCTTTATTTATTTATGATATGACACCAGAAGCATCCAACTGCCAGGAAGGCTCCACTTTGAATGCAGCAGTGGAATGCCAGGGGTAATTCTAGCTTTAAAACGCCTCTTTTTTAGGTTCAAGAGTCTGAAATTCATTATTTAAAGCATGTAAGCACAAATTCTCATTGGTCCTCTAATGTATAAATAATGTTTATAGTTTACAAAGTCACTCCTGAAATGTAAATCATCCATAACCTGCCCATCTGTTTATGAATTAAAACCAAGCCCAAGCTGAACATAATCCTCTGCTCATTGCTATGAAGATTTTCTGTTCTTATTTACATTGGAAGCTCTTTGGGGCAAGGCTTTCTTGCCAGCCACATTCCCAAGCTTGCAGGAGGAATAAAACCCTCACAGCCTGCTTCCCTTTCTTCTTTTTGTTCCTTTTGCCTCATGTAGCCTAAGGGAAGGAAAACTGCAGCACCTTCTAGCACGAGAGCTGGTGCCTGGAGATATCATCTACCTGTCTGTGGGTGACAGGGTTCCTGCAGACCTCAGGCTCATCGAGGTAAATTCAGCTGGAAACCAGCCTGGCTGGCAAAGCCTTGTCTTAACAGTGCCAGAAATTCATCTTTTGAATCAGGTTACAGATCTGCTGGTGGATGAATCCAGTTTTACTGGGGAAGCTGAGCCTTGCAACAAGACTGAGGGTGTGCTGCTGGAGGCTGGGGACATCACCACGCTGAGCAATGTGGTTTTCATGGGGACCCTGGTGCGATACGGGAAGGGGAAAGTGAGTCCTGACATCACTGATGTTTTCCTTTCCTGGGCATTAATTACAGATTCTTTTGGTGTGGGCATGGAGAGACAGGAAAAGGTGAATGGCAGAGGTGAGGTTGGATGTTGGGAAGGAATTCTTCCCTGTGAGGGTGGGAATGCCCTGGCACAGAGAAGCTGTGGCTGCCCCTGGATCCCTGGCAGTGTCCAAAGCCAGGCTGGATGGGCCTTGGAGCACCCTGGGACAGTGGAAGGTGTCCCTTCCCATGGCAGGGCCTGGAACAAGAGGCTTAGGATCCCTTCCAACCCAAACCCATCTGGGATTCTCTAGGTTTTTTCACCTCCATCTCTCTTTTTCCCTTTTTTCAGGGCGTGGTTATTGGCACGGGTGAGAATTCCCAGTTTGGCGAGGTGTTCAAGATGATGCAGGCTGAGGAGGTAACACAGTCCTGGCTGGGGAAATGCTGGATGTCCTGGGTGAAAGTCTGTGAGCAGGAGCAGTCCCAGGAGCCAGTGCACTGGGCTCAGTTCTGCTTCTGCCACAAAATGCCCGTGTGAGGGGGGGACACCAAGTGACAGAGAAGGACAGGACAGGCTCTGCCTGTTGGAGGATTGAGGGTGGGAGAAGCACAAGGGACCATGGGTTGAAACCAGCCCTGTTGGGTCACTTGAGCCAACCATCATCTCCCCATCCCACAAAACACCCAAAGAAAAAACAGTCATCTCTAACTTTTCCAGACTCCCAAGACACCTCTGCAGAAGAGCATGGACAGGCTGGGGAAGCAGCTGACCCTGTTCTCCTTTGGGATAATTGGTGAGTGGGATGCAGGGCTCACACTTGCATGGCTGGCTGTGATATCCCTCTGTGCTCTCCCAAAAGCCCTGGTGGGTCTGGCTTACCTGGACTTTGGGGCTTCCAGCAGAGACAGCACTGAAGGAGAGATTTGGGTGCCTCAAAGCGTTTTAGTTCTACAACATCAGCTAAAAGAGGTTAGGGAATTTTTTAATTCTTTTTTTAACCAAATCCTTTACACCCCCAGGTTTGATAATGCTCATTGGCTGGCTGCAAGGGAAGCACCTCCTCAGCATGTTCACCATTGGAGTCAGGTGAGGACTGGAGAGCCCTTCTCTCTTTCATTTCTAATGAAACATCCCAAGGAATTCCCTGTTCAAAACAATGGACTTTTCACATAAGAAAACTTGAGTAAAACCTTTCAAAATACGTTTTTCTCATGCACTGGCAAAATTAATGTGAGGTTTAAACAGAGAGGAGAAAAACAGAACCAAGCTTGAGGGTTTATTTAATTTTGTAAACTGTTATCTCAAAAATCTTCACTGGCATCTCTGCCTCATCCTGCTGTGGGTGCCCTTTCCTATCTGTGCTGTGAATTTAGTGGGAGTGTACCAACAGCAAATATTACTCTTTGCTGTTCCCACTGGATTTACATCTAACGAAAGGAATGCACACCTCATGCAGCAAAAAGAAGCATGCACAGCTTCTTAATCAAACACAATAAAAATGTGTTTTCAGCAGTGCCCATAAAACCTGTAAACTTGGCGTTGTCATGGTTCTAAAATAAATTCTTAAATAAAAAATGTTCTATAAAAAGAAAAAAAAATCCTGGGTGAGGAAACAACAGAGAAGCCAAACTGATTCAGTGCCAGGAAAGTGGTAAATTCTGAGTTTTGGAGGGCAGCTGATGGTTTTATAAGCTCTCCTGGATTGCATTTTGCACATGCCTAAAAGCATTCAGAGCTTCCCAAGGAATATCTAATATCCAATATACAGACTGGGCTGGATTTTTCCAGCATATCAGGTGTTGCAGGTTTTGATGATGGGGAAATTTGGGGAGCTGGTTTTGTCCCCCACATTGTGGGTAAGAGAGGAGGTGAGGGGCTGTGGTCAGAAGCCAGTGGTTAATATGTGAGCCCTGATGCCAAGGAATATTCAATTCCCATCCTCAGAAAGTTAAATAAATGAAATTAAATCCAGCCTTCACATCCCTGCTTAGCCAGAAATTACTGCTCTTTGGCAATGCAAAGAAGAAAAATAACTGCTCTGTCAAAGTCATCCAGGAAAAGCTCGAAGGGCTGGATAAATATCCTGCTTTTGTATTTACAGTGTGCCAGGTTTATCCCCTTAGGAAAACTCAGCCCTGGGGGTATCCCTTTGGCACCTTTGGGTCAGTGCTGTGGTTTGGGCCCTGTGTTGAGGCTGTTGTGTCTCTGCTGTCCCCAGCCTGGCCGTGGCTGCCATCCCCGAGGGGCTGCCCATCGTGGTCACTGTCACCCTGGTGCTGGGAGTGCTGCGCATGGCCAAGAAAAAGGTGATTGTGAAGAAGCTGCCCATAGTAGAGACCTTAGGTAAGGCTGCAGAGGGGCCACACGGCCTGGTCACCTGCCAGGCTCCCAAATCGGAGCTGGGCACCCACAGGCTGATCCAGAAAAATAACTTTGGAATAGGGTTACTGGGACAAAGCAACCCACTAAGAATTAAATGCATTTTCTGCCCTGTGTTTCCCTTAGCTTGGTGGTGGGAACACGGTTGGAATGGTGCAATCCAGCCCACAGGGAGTAGGCACACATTGGGTTATAAAATCTTTGTTTTTCCTTCCTCTCCATGAGTGGAATCCTTCTGCAGATCCATCCTGTCCACTTCTTCAGTGTCTGGCTAAAAAAACCTCCCCAGCCCCTTCCTGACTGCAGAAATAAAGCCATTTTTTGTTCTGCAGGCTGGATGGCCATGTCCCTGAGATCCAAAAAGTCACAGAGAGGGGGACAGAGGGGATTTGAGGAGGTGTCCAGCACATCCTCACGGCTGCAGGGCACAATGAGCCAGGATGGAATTGTTCTTCCAGCTCCCCTTATCTTTAATTTGTCCCTCACTCCCAGGTGCTTACTCCAGGCTTTGCTGCTCTGCCCTGCTCAGGGTGGCAGGGATATGGAGGAGGAGACACAGAGTCTCTTTAGCACCACTCATTAAAGGCACAATAAACACCAAGGCTGGGCCGTGCAGTTCCCAAAATCTGCTGCACTGCCACGTCCTGCAGCTAAAACCTGTCCTCTTCGGAAACACTGCTATTGTTTGAACTGCCCTTGTTTGTTCTGCAGTTAAGGAATCTTATCACCCTGATTTTATTGTCTCTGCCCTGACCCAGGACATCTGAAAGGGCTTTTCCCTCCTGAGGGAATTTGTTCTGCTAGGGCTGCGCCCACAGAGGCGGAACTGCAGGTGCAGAGAAGGCACGGCCAAAACTGTCTGGGAAACTTCTGAAAAGGAGAAAAACAATCCTTCTTTAATTATCACTCACAAAAATGAGGTATTGGAGGTCACAGCTTTGCTTTCTGCTAATCCTTCCAAAGTGTGATTCATTTAATTGCAGCCCAATCTGCTTTATTTTCTCTCCAGGCTTTTTCCTGGAGGTCACTGTGCTCATGGGGTTTGTGCCTGAGCACTGTGATCACCTCCAGAGCCAGGGATGATATTCACACTCAGGAGGGAACTGGAGCCTAATGCTTATTTTGTATTAATTTCCTCCCTTCTTGGGAATAGAAGCTATCTGGAAAGTGGTGCCTCTGCTAATTCACCCTCTTGTGGTATTTTGTAGATGGGCTCTGGAAAAATGTGCTTTGTTGGATCTGGATTGGCACAAAGCAGAGTAAAGGGGCAGATTCTGTTCTTGGATGTGGATCTTTGAGTATTTTTTGTGACAGTTTTTAGCCCATCTCTTCTCACAGTCCCTTGGTGAGGCAGGGAAAGGCTGAAATTCCTGATTTAGAGAAGCAAGGCTTAATTGGCAGGGTGGGAATTGGGTCTGTCTTTTTGGAATAGAGCAGCTCTTCTGCTGAGTGATATTGCAACTCAGAAACATTGACCAAGACAATGTGACCCTCTTCAGGTGTCCCCAACCACATCTCCCACCCCAGTGATGCTCACAATGCCCCAGTGTGCGCTCAGATCCTTCCCTTCCCTGTCAGGGGAAAGGATCTTTCGTTCTTTTCTCCCTTTCACCGGTGCATTTCAAACACCACGAGAAAGTTGTTCTCCCCGCTCTCAATCTCCCTGCTGGGCTGCATTACTGCCCAGCTCTGACTGGAGCCATCCCTGCCCCAGGTTGCTGCAATGTCATCTGCTCGGACAAGACGGGCACTCTGACGGCCAACGAGATGACGGTGACGCGGCTCGTGACCTCGGACGGCTGCCAGGCCGAGGTAGGGATGGGGCTGAGGGGCTGAGCCAGCCTCTCCTGCTGGAATCCAGCAGCACTCAGTCTGCCTTTGCTTCACTCAGACACAAAGCAGGGAGGCTGGCCAACCCCAAACCCAGCAGTTTCTGTCATGTTCCACACAGAGAAGGGATTTATCCAGCCCTGGGGACAGGCAGAGGTGGGGCTGAGGGGACAGAACTGCTCAGGTCCCACTGAGATGTTCATTGGAGAAAAGGAGACTCAGAGGTGACCTTATCACTCTCTACAACTCCTGAAAGGTGACTGTGCTCAGGTGGGGTTGGGCTCTTTCTCCAGGCAGCAAATGTCAGAACAAGAGGACACAGCCTCAAGCTGCAACAGGGGAAATGCAGGTTGGATATTAGGGAAAAGTTTTTCACAGAAAAGAGTGATAAAATATTAGAACGGCTGGCCTGAGGAGGTGGTGGAATTGGAGTTTTTTTGAACACATCCCTGGGTGTGTTTAACAAAGCCTGGATGTGGCACTGGGTGCCAGGGTTCAGTTGAGGGGTCGGGGCTGGGTTGGATTCGATGATCTTGAAAGTCTCTTCCAACCTGGTCATTCTGTGATTGGCATAACTGTTCCCTGCAGTTACTGTAAATTCTGAAACCTGCCACTGACCTGTGGATGTAACAGTCTGGTCAGAGACAGAAAGCCAGATAAACCTTCCCAGGAATTCTTCTGGGCAGTTTTGAGAAGGCTGAGAGAAAGAATTAAAGCAATCTTGCAGCTGGTGTTCTGAGCAGTTGTTTTCTCGTAAGATGTTTACCAAAGGGTGTCTTCTTAATTAGCCAGTGGTGTGATGGGGTGTTGATTAAATGACTGATCATGTCCACCTCTATTGGAATGGTGTATAAAAGAATAAGTTTTCAATAAAACTCAATTTAACCTCCTGAAGGAACCCGGACTCTCTGTGTCACCTCACTCCCATTCCTGACTCAACAGTGACACTGACCCTTGCTGGTCCATCTCCTGCAGGAATATTTGTTATAAGAGCAGCTTCATTCTCTGCTTGGTTCATTTCTCTGTGCAAAATGAGGGAAAATGCAAAATGTGAGGCAGAGGAGAGACAGTCAAGAGAGCAAGGCTTGAACAACCCAGTGATGCCAAAGGTCTGCATCTCTCCCCTGAGCTGGAGGAGACTTCTGGAATCTATAGCAAACAAGTGCCCTATAGGACAAATTCACTCCTTTTGTCCCTAAAAAGCCATTTTAATGTGATATTGTCACTGTTTTCAGCCTTTACTTTAAGCCTTGCTTTGAGAGACAAAGAAGAACCCCTGCACTCCTTCAAAATGAGAATTTTCTTGAGTGCAGCCCCTGCACACATCTGCAGCTCAGTCCTGCCTGGCAAAGGGGAGATTTCCCACCTCTCTCTCCCTCCCTCCCTCAGGTCAGCGGGGTGGGCTACAATGGAGAAGGAAATGTTTATCTTCTGCCGTCCAAGGAGGTCCTTAAAGAATTTTCCAACATCTCCATTGGGAAACTCGTGGAGGTAGGTATGAATTATGAACCAGCTTAGCCTGGTTGCATTCAGTCTTCAGTTGCACAAATAACTTTGGATAATTAGCATGAAAAAAAACCACTTTTGTAACTCTAAAATGGACTGGCTTGCTAAAACATTCTCATGGAAAGACTGAGTGTGATTTAATTCCTGAAATTAGGAGTGAAAAGCAATGATCATAAGGCATGCAGGGAGAGACCAGAGCCATCAGCTTCAGGAGTCAATGATATTCTGGATAAAAATACAATTCTGGCAAAGGAGAAACCAATACATTTTACCCTGTTCAGGTTTTTAATGTGCACAGTTTCTAGACATTAGCCAGCTACACAGTCAGTTTATAAATTTATTGTGATGTTCTCTGGGTTTTGTGTCAGCTTTACATAAAATTTTGAACATTCAACTGCAGGCTGAAGTGGAGTGTTTGGGTGGTGAAATGATTCAAGCTGGAATCTCAAATGTAGACTAGGTCCTGTTTTATTCATACTGCACATTAGAAACAATGGGAGGAGAGACTGAGCCTTCATTTTCATGATCTGTGAGCTCATTAGATGTATCTTATGTTTTCTTGATGTTAATTTATCCAAAGCATAATATTTTACCAAATTACTGGTGTATTATATGCATTAAGTGGCTTTAGAAAACACAAGAACTGATCTCAAGTGATGCTGCTGAGTTTTTCCCAAAACTTTTGGGATGTGGCTCCTTTCATTCCCCAACCTTCAGTCTTCCAACCTTCATTCCTCTTCTTCCATTTCATTTAAAGAGATTAAAAAG